GACTACCTCCTCCGTTAGATACTATTACAACGCTTCGCTCGTAGTTAGACTCGGTCTATCTTAGGTAGCGGTATCGAGGCTTTTAAGGGTGTATACTAGTCTCTACGTATCGTTTACCTAGGCCGCCTTTCTATTAATGTCGATATAGCTAACGGCACTTTCTAGACTACCGATATGCTTTATCAATCTGCTATTATAGTACTCGCGACATTAGCGACCTTATTACCGGCATTTAGCGCAAGGGGGAGAAGGGCAAGTATAGTATTAGTCTTAAGAAGTTCTAGAAGGTCCGCGTTATTGCTAAGCGCCGTAGCTAGCACAACGAGGATAAGTATTGCATCGAGCGCTTTATCTACTAGGATGCTAAGCAGTACAAGGTGCAGGTTACTAATCCTCGAGGCAATAAGGTAACTATATCCCTCTACGACTACTTCGCTAAGAAATACAATATCCGTCTCTATTGCTTTCTAAAATCTTCCGAGAGTAACGTCTGTCTATTACGTCGAGACTTGCCGAATATCTTAGGCTTAAGGTTATTGTTAACCTTCTTATTTTACTAAGGTCTGCTACTTGTCTTAGGCTTAAGGTTATTGTTAACTTCTTATCGTTGTACTTCTCGTCTATCTATTACGGGAATTTGCTAGTTGTTTTAGACTTAAGGTTATTGTTTAACTTCTCGTAGATAAGTACTAATTAATATCGGCCTATTCTATAAGGCGAATAAGGTAATAACCGAAGCTACCTAGGGTAAGTTCCTTAACCTAATCCCTTAATCTCCTTAGGGCTATAAGACTTGTTCAACTTATCGATATTGCCGTAGATAAGGGACATTAATATAGGCACTACACAGCCTTGCTGTTATCTAATTAGGCCCTTTAGTATAGTAGTTGATTACGCTCTACGGTATAGCAACGGAGCGTAATTGCTCGAAGATCGCCTATTAAGTAGTTATATACCTCTAGCCTTAGCTCTGCATTACTTGTAGAGACTTCCTAGGGCCGGAGGCAGCACTACTTAGGCATCCGAGAGCGGTTACAATCTATATACTTGCGTTATACTCGATCGAGAATGTCTCTTTTATACTAGAGTAACCCGGGTTCGAATCTCGGAGAGGCTATCTTCTTTTGCTTAGGTATTAGCCTTTTGTAGAGGTGTTATTCTTCTAGATAATAACCATTTTAATCTTTTTAGACCTTTATGTAATTCGCTATCTTCTTTTGCTAAAGTCCTATTATTGTACTAAAGTCTTGTTATTATACTGAAGTCTTATTATTATGCTAAAGCCTTATACCTAATATCTATTTTTTGGCTCTTTAAATATAGAAGTAATATCCGCGCTCCTTAAGCCTATAGGCTCCGGGATTCTAGTATAACCGTTGTCGCGGCGACGCCGGTATAATCTATAGGCTTCTTAACGACTAGACTAGCTTAGTCTCTAGTGCCCTTAAATTTTGCCTTAATTAGAGCAATACGAGCTAGTATATCGTAGGCGATAGTCGTTAGCGATCGTGTTTAGCGGGTAAAGTCGTCGAGTTGCTAGATATTTATGCCTATAGAATGTTTAGCTACGTTCCCTGCCCTTAAGATATAGTGCATCTTATAGCTAAGAAGGTTGCGGTTAGGCGACGTATGCTTCTAGACTAGCGGCGTTATTAATGCTAAAAGTTAATAAGAATTTTCGGAGACGGGCTTCTTAACGTATAGTACCCGCTACTAAGAGGCTCTTAGGTCTTATTAGCCGAAAGTTAATAAAAGTTGCTAAAAGTTCGTTCGAGGTAGGGCCGCGGACGGGCCTACCCTAGCTAAGCCTACGTCGCCTGTCTAACCCGTCTAAGCTACTAATTTTTACCCCTCGAGTATTATCCGCGCGCCTTAAACCTACAAAGTTTGTAAGCAGGGTTTGTAGGACCTCGGGTCCTCGGGAGCTATAGGGTTTATCGTCCTCTATACTATAGATTCGAACCGATTAGAAGAGGAGTTTTAGGTCGAGAAGAAAATATAGTAGCTAAGGCGCGAGGATTATACGATCTTATATATCGGTAGAGGAACGACGATAGCGATATTAACGATCGGATTTAGCCGCTTAGAGCGCAAGATTCAAATAATAAGAGGTAGAAAACGAGGCATATCGCAGGCATATAGGCACGGATATTATTTTAACTTAAGAATCTATATATTTAGAATTGCCGACTCTACGGTATCGATAGCGGCCGCACTTTATATTGCCGGCACTACTATCGTATGCCCGCTTGCCCTCCTTAGTATATATACGACAGGTATAGCCTAAGCGGGTATAGCGCTTATAGGCAGGCGTACGCAACTCTCCTTTATCTGTCTCTTCGATGCGGCCGATATGCGTTAATCTAATCTATATCTCGTTCGAACTCTCTATCTATAGCTTTATAGTCTTAGAATAGTAGGCCTTATCGGCCTATAGGCAGCGTAGCGCAATCCGTAGGCTACTTAGACCCTTCTTCTTCTTCTTCTTCTAAGCCTAAGCTAGTGCTAGTGCTAGTACTAGTGCTAGCGGTAGTAGCGCCCTAGATACTAAAGTCGAGGCTAGAGGTAGCGGAGGAGGAGGTAGAGAGATAAGAGGCAGGCCTTAGCGAGAGCAGTCTTGCTATCGACGCGCCTATATACTTAGACTAGAACGCCGAGATAGTGCTAGAGCTAGTAGCGCTAAGGCCGCTATATTAACGACACTAGGATACATTAGCTATAGCCTTATATAAGGCGAAGATAGAAGGCATACTCGTCTAGGGCATCGATATCCTAAACCGAGCCGCCCTACTAGTCCTACTAGTCCTACTAGTCCTACTACTACTGCTATTGTAGTAGAGGCGCCTGCGCCCCGGGAGACAGAAAGTCTAGCGCAAAGTCTGCAATTTCGTCGAGTTCTTAGTTAGATATAGTAGCGACTACGACGGCGAGGTATTAAAGGCGAGGATAGTGTATATCGGTAAAGAAGAAAGAGAATAGAAGAAGGTCGGCGAGGAGTCTAATTTATAAGCGACTCTCTTATTAAGCTTAATTTTACCGTATCGATCTTACTTCGGTATTATACCCTTACTATATGCCTTACAATACTATCCGACTGCTATTATTACTTTAATACTTAATTCGTTACTCCCTACCGCCCTTAGCGCTACGATCGGCCTCGGGGATATTAGTTATTTATAATAAGCCGACATCGTTTATCGAGTTTTAGCAACTTTTAGCCGCTTATAATGCAGTCGTTATCTAGAGATAGCGAGAATATCTAAAGTTAAAGTATTAGTATATCGGCTAACATAGCCGACATCTTTTACTAAGTTTTATTAGCTTTAAGCCGCTTATAATGCGGTCGTTATCTAGAGATAGCGAGAATATCTAAAGTTAAAGTATTAGCATATCGGCTAACATAGCCGACATCTTTTACTAAGTTTTATTAGCTTTAAGCCGCTTGCAAAGCGGTCGTTGTCTAAAGACGGCGGGGATATCTAAACTCAAAGTTTTAGCATACCGGCTAATATAGCAGGATGTACTATTAGTCGCGGTAGCAGCAAGATTAGCGAGATTCGTAAGAGCTCCGGCGCCCGCTTCTCTATAAGGTTGTGCCTTCGAGACTGTTTATCCTTTAGCGACTAGATATTATTTAGCAACTTTTATTAACTTTCGGCAAGTTTTAGACTATTTATATGCGCCTAGGGTTTATTAGTACTATAGACGCCTCCCGATAGGCACTAAGTCTACTAAGGGAGTAAGGGTTGTAGCACTCTTGCTACCTCTAACTTAATTAATACTATTCCTTTAGTGCCGCCTATACTAAGTAAACAAACTAGCCCTTCGGTGCTATTATTACTACTAAGGTAGAAGAGGCAGATCTAGCTTATTGCCGAGAAGTGGTTAATATAGGGTAAAGTGTAGCAGCTACTATAAAAGCAACTATCTTCTGCATTTCTTCCTCCTTTCTTCTATAACACTTATGCCGGTCTAGGAGACACTAAGCCGGCGGCAGCGACTAGGGGTCCTAATACCCTTACTAAGTAAATAAACACTAGCTTAACGCAATAGGCATTACTACGCTCGATAGGGAACCTTCGGGCCTATATAGATAAGCAAACGGCGTAGAAGCGAGTAAAATCAAAGCATTAGAAGCGAAGGCAGAGGCTACTACTCCTACTAAGACTCCCGCTTAAGACCCTAACGAAGCGCGCTACTAGTTAGAGTATCGAATTCAAGACTCTATCTAGGTCTAGGACCCTAACGAAGCGCGCTACTAGTTAGAGTGTCGAATTTAAGACTCTATCTAGGTCTAGGACCCTAACGAAGCGCGCTACTTGTTAGAGTGTCGAATTTAAGACTCTATCTAGGTCTAGGACCCTAACGAAGCGCGCTACTAGTTAGAGTGTCGAATTTAAGACTCTATCTAGGTCTAGGACCCTAACGAAGCGCGCTACTTATTAGAGTGTCGAATTTAAGACTCTATCTAGGTCTAGGACCCTAACGAAGCGCGCTACTAGTTAGAGTATCGAATTCAAGACTCTGTCTAGGTCTAGGACCCTAACGAAGCACGCCGCTAGTTAGAGTATCGAATTTAGAACTCTACCTAAGACACTAACGAGTGCAAGCTTAAGGCTAGTACTACTATCGAAGAAGCGCTCCGTAAACGGCAAGCCGGGCCTACTCTTAATAAGCATTCTATAGTCGATAGGACAGGCCTACTCTCGAAGAAGCGCTCCGTAAACGGTAAGCTAGGCCTACTCTCGAAGAAGCGCGCGTAAACCCTAAGCTAGGCCTGCTCTCGATAAGTACTCTACGATCGATAGGATAGGCCTACTCTCGATAAGCTCTCTATAGTTAATAGGACGGGCCTACTCTCGAAGAGCGCTCTATAGCGAAGGAGCGCTCCGTAAACGATAGGCGTACTATAGACGATAGGCGCTCCGTAAACGATAGGCTAGGCCTGCCCTCTAAGACTATAGTCGACGGGATTATATACGTATTTAGCTAACCCGAGAATGTTCGCTAAAGCTAAAGGAGACCTAATAAAAGCCGCTAAGGCCTTTAGTAGTAAGTACGTAACTCTTCGCGATCGTGCTTTATCTTGCCTATATAGGGTTAGCGTATACTTCGTAGTCTAGGGAGTATACCTTATAGGCGCATCCGCACCTTTCTTAGGCAATTAGTTAATATTCTAGGCAACTTTAATAGTAAATAACGGGAAAAGTAGGGCCTTACTATTGTTAATCCCCCGAGTAGTAGCGGTCTATATAAAGTTTTAGCATCTTTTATAAACTTTTACTAACTTACGAGGGCCCGAATATTAGAGCGGGCAGATATTATAGGCGACGTTAATAGGAAATAGCGGAAAAAAGTAGGGCCTTGCTATTATTAATCCCTCGAGCGATAGCGGTCTATATAAAGTTTTAGCATCTTTTAGAAACCTTTACTAACTTTTAGCTAATAAGAGCCCGAAGATTATATCGGATAGAGTATCAACCCTTACTTCGATCCTGCTCTTATAGGGCGAACGTAGAGCTGTTACCTTACTTGCCCTACATTTTCCTAGTAGTAAAGTTTATATACTATTATTAGTTAGTTTTACGTTGCTTCTTAGGTAGACAATAGAACTTATCCCGCCCTTAGCCTTATATATATATTTCTTCTCCCTCTATCGTTTCCTTCCTTCCTTCTTCTTCTATAAGATATCGTATATACCCTCTTACCCTCTTCTATAACGTTACCTTAAACATAAGAACTACGTTAACGGTATAGAAAGTAACAAAGATAGCTAGCCTGTTCTTTCGCCGCCTATCGGGGCACTCTCTTTTTAGTATAGATGTATATATTAATTAGCAACTTCGGAGGCATTTAGAGATTAGAATACTGCTAATACGTATATAGGGCGAGCGAGCTCTAGCGTCTACTACTTCGCGCGCGTAGCGCGCATCCCGCCGCAACCGCCGCCGCCGCATCGCTCTTCGATTGCGTTTGCTATAGCAGTAGTAGTAGTAGCAGTAGTAGCAGCTATAGAAGTATACTAGTTTTAGGCGTCTTAGGATAAGAATATGCTAATATCTCGAAGTCCGACTTTCTTTGTAACCCCTATAGATATAGTAACGTACGTTTTTAGCTTATCGATTAATCCTTAGATATAGTACTAATTCGTAGAATAGCTATTAGCTTCCGCTAGCTCCTCCTCCGCTAGCTCCTCCGGCGTATATATCTTTAGTCTTGTCTGCTTATAATCGCTAGGCGCTAACATATTATAGACCTCCGCTATAGTAGCAACTATAGTAGTAGCTATAAGGCGGCGAGTAAGTGTTGCTTTACTCCGTTGCCTATTTTAATCGATACTAACTACGATATAGTAATATCGATATAAACTTCGGTACTAGCGGCGACGAGTAAGTTATTACTTTGCTCCGTTGCCTATTTTAATCGATGCTAACTACGATATAGTAATATCGATATAAACTTCGGTACTAGCGGCGACAAGTAAGTTATTACTTAGCTCTATTAGCTGTTTTAATCGATACTAACTATACTATAGCGACGACTACAACCCTACTAGCGCTAATAGTAACGACGATAGCGATAAGTAAGTTATGCATTCCTAGGCCGTTGTCGTGTTTATATATATACTAACTATACTATAGCGAGAATAAGCCTTTTATTAGCCCTGCTGCCGTAGCCTTCGATGCTGCCGCCCTCCCCCCTCCTACTACTACTACCGCCGCTACCCTCCCTCCTCCTCCTACTACTACTACCGCCGCCGCCCTCCCTCCTCCTCCTACTACTACTACTACCGACGCCCTCCCTCCTCCTCCTCCTACTACTACTACCGACGCCCTCCCTCCTCCTACTACTACTACTGCCGCCGCTGTCCCTTTCTTCGCTCCGCCGGCCGTAGCACTAACGATAGGCAGGCAGGTTAGTAATATACCGCCTATCCTAGCCGGAGGTACTCGCGTACCTCGCTTTTAGCTAGCTAGGCCGCCTATTCTAGGCATAACGCCTAAGCCTGCTTAGGTTATAGGAGAGTAGTAGTCTCCGGACACTATCGACCGTAAGTTAGACTAATCGAGCGAGCGATTAAGGATTATACTAACATATGTTATAGCGGCCTATACGAATCGCTATAAGCAGCTACGCTACGTTGTCCGTATTATAGAAACGACCTTAGGCCGTCGTTTCGCCCGCCTATACGACGCCTGCCGTCGCGACGGCCTTAAGTGCTAGGGTTATTTAGCGGGCATTAAGGCCTATATTAAGAAGCCTAGTCGTAGTTATACTCGCTACCGTCTCTATAAGGTATAATATTCTTATTATATTCTAGATAGGATATAATACTAACTTCGTTGCTTTTAGATCCCTTACTCCTATCGCGACGAGGAGCTTAGGCTCCTACTTAAGAAGAGCCTAGATCGCAAGCTAGATAGTTTCGGTAGTAGCTATAGTAGTAGTATAGATAGTAGCAAAGGTAGTAGTGCTTATAGTAGCGTCGCCGCCTACTAATTTTTACTTATTCGCGTAGTAAGTCCTAAAATATAGTAGTAAGACGTATGTCGCTTACTAGGTGTTCGGTATTTAGGTATAGTAGCTAGTCTGCTTCTTTATTTACTTTTTTATTTACTAGCCTTTAGGAATAATAGTGCTTTTTATTGTGTTTTTATACTCTTAGCGGTCTTCTATTCGGTGTTTAGGAGAAGTAGTACGGCTACTATAAATAGAAACTCTTCTCGGTCCTCTAATCTCGTTGCTATATTACTCTACTATATTCTTCGGCTTTTACCTTATATCTACTAAGTTGAAAGCGCTAAAGTCTAGGTATATAGTACTCTATAGATTCGCCGCGGCTCCGCTTGCCGAAGGCCTCCGACTAGCTGAAAGTTCATAAAAGTTAGTAGACGTTGCAGCGGCTTAATCAACTTTCATTCAAAACCCCAGAATTCACGAAATTAGCCTAAAGCCGACCTTCTTCAACTTCGGCGCTCTCTCTACCCCCCAGCCACCAGCCACCAGCCACAACTTGAAGCGTCGACCTGTGAACCAAGGGACCAACCCAGCATTGAAATGCATCTGCCACGGCGAGTCGGCGGCAACGATACTCGTATATCGTACTGAGCATACTCGATGCCAGCAACATCTCACGCCAACCCTCATCATTCCAAAGCTCCACACCATGTCACACGACCCGTTCCAAGAAGCCCAAGCCGATGTGCTCTCCTTACTACAACAGACGCGCCCTCTTCTCCAGTCATATCTACGAATACGATCAACAGCGTCAAGCGCAAATGCACCGGAACTTCGAGAAGCCAGAGATGAGCTCGAGAGCAACCTAACGGATCTGTCGACAGACCTGTCAGATCTGGTAGCTTCAGTCAAGGCCGTTGAAGGAGATCCATACAAGTATGGCCTCGATGTGACGGAAGTTGGGCGTAGGAGAAAGCTCGTTCGGGATGTGGGCAGCGAGATTGAAGACATGCGACGCCAGATGCAGTCCACCGTGGCTGCCGCAGATGCGAATCATCTAGTACACCCGGATCAGTTTGGAATGCACGACGACGACGGCGATGAAGACTATGCTGCTTGGGAAGAGCAGAGACAGATGGAAATTATGCACGAGCAGGACGAGGCTCTGGATGGTGTCTTTCAGACTGTCGGGAACCTCAGGGCGCAGGCAGACACAATGGGCCGTGAATTGGAGGAGCAAGCAGAGCTGCTAGAAGACACAGAAAACATCACGGATCGAGTGGGAGGGAAGCTGGCGAGTGGCATGAACAAGATTCGCTACGTGATTGAGAAGAATGAGGGTGAGTTCCGCACGCTGCAGAATTGCAGCGTTAGACACCGGATCTGGTACTACGGAGCTGACACTAGATTCAGATCGATACTCGAGTTGTTGTATCGCAGCCTTGATCTTTGTGCTGATACTGCTGCTCATACTGGTGCTTGTTCTCTGAGATCATATGCCAAGAGCTGTGGCTCAGCATCTGACGTGAACCTGAACCTCGATCTCCAAGTTATCAACATGTGGAGAGCTTCGACATTATCATCCTCACATGTTGACACCGCAAGCAGCATGCAAGGCGACAGTGAGTGCATTCTTGAACAACGAGATTCCTCACATGCTGATTGTACAGACTCGCATCCACTGCTGCAACAGACAGCATTGAGCGTCAATCCATTCATCGACCTGCCAAAGGCGCCAACATTACCGCACAACTACGCTTCGCTTCCATCCATACTGCCGCCGTCAATCCTGCAGTCTCCTCCTGCACCTTCCAATCCGGATCTCCCAGGCTATGTGACCTCTTCGTCAGGCTTCGCAGCACACCCAAAGACGATTATAGCACAGAACAAGTCACTGCTCGAACAGATCGAGACGCAGCGAAAGCATGCAGAAAAGGAGGTGCATCAGTGGGAGCAGAGCATAAGAGATCGTGAACTCGCAGAGAAGAGACGCAAGGCGCCCGGCTATTTGGATACTGAGGTCCACATATTGGAGCCGGCCAAGGCGAAAGCAGACCTACCACAACTCGGAGCTGCGAGCTTAATGGATGAGCCGGCACCGGTATCGCGACAGCCCAGCATGAACAAGCAAGTCGATGATCTGGGCGATGCAATGGACAGAGCCTTTGGGAGGAGCGAGCTGGGTTGAACGCCGATGCGCGACATATAGACTTGACCTACAGATCTGCTCGTCACCCCAGAATTTGTGCTCCAGAGTCTAGAAGTTGGGCTCACCAAAGGCAGCTCGTGGAACCGCAGGCAGCAGGTCCGGCAGTGAGGCTACAATGCATGCCTCAAGTGTCGTTCTTCTTGGGTTTTTGCGCACACAAGGGTCCTCCATCCCTTTGTGGTTGCAAATTTCAGGGTGCGTCTACTCGCTCATCGGTGGATTGGTGGTTTGGAAGGAAGTCAAACATGCCTACCGATAGTAAATTGTTATAGTCTACTACTTTTAAGGTAGACAGATCGGTAGAGAATTCGGTAGATAGAGAGCACGTCCGTAGAGGCGAAGATTCTCGACTGATCTGCCGATGACCTGCCCCCAACCCGCGCTTTCGGGATGCTGTATGGCTACACCTCCCAGAACAGGCAACCCGCGCTCAGACCACGGATTAAATTGTATACAGCAAATACCGCCTACTTCTATCGGAAAGCAAAGCAGACAAGTCGGCAGATCAAGTCGGCAGAAGAATCGATTGCTAGATTGTGTTAGGAAACTATAGGATTCCCTCTTGCGAGATTTCTAGGATTAAGTAGTATCCCCTATAATAACTCGTCCGCTCGGAGCGTTTATTAGCAAAACAGGCATCAACCCCTATACGCTCTACTTAGTTAGCATATAGAGGCCGCTCTATAGCCGCTCTATAGGTAAATAAACAGGCCTTAATTAGACTCGGTTATATACGCGTTAAACTACTTCGAGCGCTTAGCTATTATCGCCGCTATTATAAGAAGGGTACGTTAGTAGGTAGATAGGGTAGTAGTAGGTATAAGTAGTATTCGATAAGGAGCTAGGAGGAGAGGGAGGAAAGCGGGCAAGTTAGCCTATTACTAAGCGCTAAGCCCTACCTAAGGTATTAAGACTCTAGCTTTACTCGAGCCTAGTTATATACTAATTACGTACGACCTCTTTAGTCCTAATATACGCTTCCCTTCTAAAGGCCGCGCCCTCGTAGCCGGTCTATATTCTATTCTTAACCTCTATCGCTACTAACTTAGTAGGTCTAGCAAGCTTCTTAGTCTACGCTAAATTAAACGCTTAACTACCGGATTATATAACTATATTAAACCTTACATTCTAATATATTGTCTAACTCTAACTGCGCTATCCTTATATATAATAAAGTAATATATAACTAAAAGAATTAAGGACTATCTACTAATTATAATACGAGCGCGCCTTCCCTACTATAATAGGTAGGCATATAAGGTATTATAGCACTACCTCCGTTCTAAGTAATATCGTTTCGAGTTCTTTGCGTCTACTCTTAAAAAACCTAGCTATATCCGCTTTCGAGGGTTGTCTGCTTCCGAGAGTTTATTCTTATTATTACGAGGACTATTATTATTCGTAGTTTCGCTAGCCCTAATTAGTTAGGTTTAGTAGCCTTTAATTGTTAATCTTATCTTATCTTTTCAAAAAACACAGCTCGTCTAGTTTCTATAAATAAAGGCTATTATAAGTATAGTAGTTAAGGTTCGCTTTACTTAAAGGGTCGGAAAGATCGAGGAGTAACCTATTATCCGTAAGATCGACCCTAGCTAGCTTAGCTCTATAGTTTTTGCCCTTAGTTAGTCTATTAACCTAATCTTTTAAGCGGCTCTTAGTGTTTTAACTTAGCCTTAAAGTTTTAATTAAACCTTTAATATAGCTATTCTTTTAACTTAACTAGTATAGTACGCTCCGGCCTTAGGCCGTAGTATAGGTAAGGTTGTCTTCGTAGATATAGCGACAATAGCAAGTAATATTAACAATAGCGGCGCTAGCCGTCTTAGCGCTAACTTTACCTTGCTTCTAATTTCCTTCTTTAACTAATAATAACTTAGCAATACCGTTACTAATATAGCCGCGCCGGCCGCGCCGTCGTTATTATTATTATTACTATTTACGCGCACGCGCGCCGTCCTCGCCGATCGCTTAGGCCTCGGGGCCTCGTTAGAGTAAAGGAGTAAAAGGGGGCGCTAAGAGAAGGGTCTTATAGGGTACGCTAGTAAAGAGGTAGTTTCCTAGAAGAGTAGCGAATAGTTAACGTATTATAGCGCGCTTGTTAACACTCGGTACGCGTTTACTATAGTAGTATAGTCTTATTATCCCTTGTTGCTAACAATTGCTTGCCTCTAATTAGTTAGCTAATAGCACCCCGGGGGTAGCATTATTCCTAGGCGACATTATAGGCCCTTAGCCTTCTTCTTGTTCTTTATACTAGTCTAATACTTATCTAGCAACTTAGTTATATCCTTAAAGGAGTCCTTAGCCTCCTACGAGTCCTATTTAGGTAAATAGCCTTACTATCTTAGGAGGTATTCCTTCTTGCCTTGTCTAGTCCGATGCTTTAGAATACGTTCTGTAGACTATAGCTCTTCGCTATTAGCTAAGACTTCTTCTAACTTAGTAGGCGCTTTATCGCCTTCGCGCTAGTAGTATAGTTTAAGGAGGGATATATAGAAGGTATTATAGATAGTGTAATAAGGTAGAAGCTATAACTAGTAGGCCTATACGGAGGAGCCTTTAACTTCTCGGATACAGAATAGGCTAATATATCTCGGTGCGAGCTTAGGCCTTGTTTTACTATTAGGTAATAGGTGTTTGCGGATACGGAGGTTCTTTATACTAAGTATAACTATATCGCCTTGTTTAAAGGTTATTAGTATATAACGCTTATCGTAGTAGGCCTTTTAGTATTCTTAGGCCTTTATTAGCTTCTTAGCTATCTTAGTATAGATTTCTCGCATCTTCTTAATACGTTCTATTGCCGCTAGTGTTTCTAGTACTTAACGCGCTTCCCTTTCCTTACGCTCGGCCTCGAGCGTTAGTAGGTCTTATAGTAAGGCAGCGTTTTAGCCTATTATAGCTATATATAGTAAAACCTTAGTAGATAAGTGCACGCTATTGTTATATACGAATTCTATAGGCTATAGGAGATTAACCTAATCCTCGGGGTTGTTATTAATATAGCTGCGTAGGTACTGCTATAGGGTAGCATTCTGCCTCTCTGTTTAACTGTTAGTCTATAGATAGAAGGCTATTAATAGCCGATGCTTTAGTCTTAGCTGCAAGCAAATCTCGCTCTAATAGTAAGATATTAGTGTCGATCTACGATTAGATACTATCCCCTTAGGGGTTCCCTAATAGGTATAGAAGATGTTATTCTATAGCGCTTCTGCTATATTAATAGCAGTCTAATCCTTCCGCGCCGGGATATATCGAGCGCCTTTAGTAAATCGATCTACTATAATAAGGATAGTATTATATACATCCTTGCTGCCCCTGCGTTTAGTAGGTAGAAGGCCTATAATAAAGTCTATTATAAGCTCTACGAATAGCTTCCTAGGAATAGGAAGTAAAGACAACTCGCTAAATAGCAAGTGCTTTAGTGCTTTAATACGCTAGTATACTACGCAGGTCTATATATACTCCTTTATATACCGCTTACTATTTAGCTAGTAGTATATACGCGATAGTAACTCGTGCGACCTCTCTATACTATAGTAACTAGCGAGCTTACTATTATAGTGCCTCTTTAAAAGCTCTTATCTAATCGATTGTTTAGCGGGGATATAGTATCTGCCTTTAAACTTTAAGTAACCCTTATCGTCGATCGACTAATTGTTATTATAAGAAGGGTTATGTTAGTAGGTAGATAGGGTAGTAGTGAATTAGTATAGTATTCGATAGAGATCTAGAAGGAGAGGGAGGAAGGCAGGAGAGTTAGCCTAACGCTAAGCGCCAAGCCCTGCCTAAGGCATTAAGACCCTAGCTTCACTCGGCCTAGTTATATGCTAATTACGTATAGCCTCTTTAGCCCTAATACACGCTTCCCTTCTAAAGGCCGCGCCCTCGTAGCCGATCTTTATTCTAGTCTTAACCCCTATTGCTACTAACTTAGTAGGTCTAATAAGCCGCTTAGTCCGCGCTAAATTAAACACTTAACTACCTAATTATATAACTATATTAAACCTTACCTTCTAATACAATGTCTAACTCTAACTGCGCTATCCTTGTATATAATAAGGTAATATATATCTATAAGAATTAAGGACTATCGACTAATTATAATACGAGCGCGTCTTCCCTACTATAATAGGTAGACGTACGAGGTATTACAGCCCTGCCTCCGTTCTAAGTAATGTCGTACCGAGTTCTTTGCGTCTACTCTTAAAAGACCTAGCAATATCCGCTTCCGAGGGTTGTCCGTTCCGAGGGATTGTTCTTATTATTACGAGGGCTATTATTGTTCGTAGTTTCGCTAGCCCTAATTAGTTAGGTTTAGTAGCCTTCAATTGTTAATCTTATCTTATCTTTTCAAAAAATATAGCTCGTCTAGTTTCTATAGGTAAAGGCTATTATAAGTGCAGTAGTAGAGGTTCGCCTCGCTTAAAGGGTTAGATAGATCGAGGAGTAACCTATTGTCCGCAAGATCGACCCCGGCTAGCTTAGCTCTATAGTTTTTGCCCTTAGTTAGTTAGTCTATTAAGCTACTTAATCTTTTAGGCGGCTCAAAGTTTTGATCAAAGTTTTAATTAAAGGTGCCTTAGGTTCGTAGCGTAGGTAAGGTTGTGTCCGTAGGCGTAGTAATAATAGCAAGTAATATTAACAATAGCGGCGCTAGTCGCCTTAGCGCCAACTTTACCTTGCTTTCGATTTCCTCCTTCGACTAATAGTATACTCCGCAACACTGTTACTAATATAGCCGTGTCCGTCCTTTCTTAATAGTAATACACTCCGTAATACTATTACTAATATAGCCGCGCCGGCCGCGCCGTCCTCGCCGATTGCCTAGGCCTCGAGGCCTCGATAGAATAAGAGAACAAGAGGGGGACCTAAATACTAGGAGAAGGGTCTTATAGGGCGCGTTAGTAGAGAGGTAGTTTCCTAAAAGAGCCGCGGATAGTTAACGCGTTATAGCGCGC